ATGTCAATGTTTTTAACAGTATGAGAGGAAAACAAACTCAGGGAGACTGAGTAAAGTAGAATATATATTTATTTACAGCCGAGGGGAAAGATCTGGTCTGGGTGATGACTGAGAGGAGCGTTTCGAAGCAGGTTACAGTGAAGCAGCTGGAGAGGTGAGCTGGACAGAGGCAGAGTAGCAGCTGAGGGGCCAGGTTCACAGGAAGGTGAGCATCCAGGTGACTATTTACAGTAGCAGATCTCAAGAGGGAGCAGGAATCCAGAGTTCGGCTGAGTGTCTCCCTTTACTGGTGCTTTAATAATATATGCGAAACAAAAAGATAAATACTGCTTATTACCTGGTGACACCTGTAGCTTTAACCTTAAATAAAATAACATTTTTCTCAATCTTCAAATAAAAATAATTGCTCATAAAAACAAACATAAGCTGCACATATTCATACCTCCTTCTGCCTTCCAAATGTGCTGATTTAAAGTTGGAAATCATCTTCTCTTGCTAGCATGCTCTCATTTCACACATCTTACCCTGTGCTTCAGTTTCAACTGACATGTGCTCATGACATTAAGTTAGGAGCGGAGGGAACGAGATCAACCGGAAACATATATACGCTAAAAATTTAAATAAGAAATAATTACTTTTTCTTTACCTGCACGTGGAAGTTTAAAAATAGGTGCCAGGCAGAAGAAGTCCACATCATTCCTCCTATTATTCCTCATGTTTTTGTTTCTCCTTCCATGGATGAGTGAACAAAGTACTGTACATCAGAAAAATGAACAGAGTGACCCTGGACGGGGCTGTAGCGGGAGTCACGTGACTGAAATGATCCAATAGCAACACAACACAGTTATATATCTGAGTAGATGTACAGGCACGACAGCCAAACCCATCTGTTCTCTGATTGGATGTTAAATCTATGATTGACAAGACATTGACCAATCAGCTGGAGGCAGAAAAACGGTGTCAGAATACGTACTTGTAAAGTGAAACTCACATGCAAGTTTTGAACTTGAGTAGAGAGATTTGCATGTAGTTTTTTGCTTTGTACAGACCTTAACAAAAAAAGACTGTAACTTGTGTAAATATTTTTTACAGATACAAATCTTGTTTTTACAGATACAAATTTTATTTTTACAGATACAACTCTATTTTACACACACACATTCCTATTTACATATCCAAAAGTTAAAAATCTTAATCTACAAGTACAAAGTCTGATTCACGAGTACAAAATAAATGAGACTAGTATTTGTTTCCATACTGTCCGCCCCACCAATATTTATGCTCACAAGCTGCTATTGTAAACAACCGGCCATCAAAACTTGCACTACTTTCTTCAGGGGTGGATTAGCCTATAGGGATTTCGCCGGTTTGCCAACATGTTCTTTACTATGCAGCAGTCAGCTGATCTGCTCGCAYGGACTGGGTGACGGGGAAAAAAAATCATCTCTGTGGCACTTTGATCACAAATCAGATTCAAATCTTGTCTCTACTAGACTAATATATTTACTGAGAAAAATGGTGACGTGTTCAATACTTATTTTATCCGCTATATACAATACATACATACATACATACAAACAAACAAACGGATAGTTAATGTCGCTTTATGTCATAGTGCCGGCAAGAACTTAAAACTACTTTCACCCCTGCATGAGATCGTATTGTACACAAATAAATTCGGTACATATAAATGTCATTCTGTGACTGCAGTACCTCTTGTTACACAATTGAAAGAGACTTCATCATAAACTGGTTTTACATCAATATTTTAACAGAAAACAAAATATTCACTTGGTCAAAGACAGTAATTTTTTTTTGCCTCCATGTACAGGTACAGCTGTATTTTATGATCCTGGAGCAACTGGGAAAGTATGTAGAAGCTCTGGAAGTGATCCGAGGTCCGCTAGGAGGTAGGTGGATGTTTTTTGTTAATTCCTCTTTATGAAGATCTGAAATACGATGCAAATCCAAAGGGAAAGTCCTTTTGGTGCAGACTAAATCCATAGGCTACTTCTGTAAACACTGTGCTGAATGAATGAGACATGTCAACTTTTTTTTCTGCACATCCGGTTAGCATCAGTGCAGGAAGCCTGTTGCTAGCAGCCCCCATCCTTCGTGCTGAGTCTGACAGCACACACGGCAAGCAGACTGCGAGTATAATGGKAGGATTCAGACAGAGTTTATTTTAAACAACACAGCATGTCGGCGCCTGTTATGTCACTATTCTGGTACCCTTGATGATACTGTGAATGCTGGAGCTTATCAATCCTGTCAAAATTCATTACGTGGAACCGGTGTTGAAAAAATACCGGGTTTCGATACTGTCCCTATGAACCAAAAGGGTGCCTGGACACACAGGGCCAAAGGCTCATGTGGCTCAGCCACCAACTAAAGCAGACAAAACTCTGTGCACCAAACACACTAACCCCTGTCAAACACCAAAGAGTCACAAAATTCACCCTACAGGATGGGGAACCAGCACACCAGAACCTCAGGTACCTGCAGCAGCCCACCAGTACTCCACAAAACACCAGCAGACAATCACCAGCAGCTCACAAGCTGCCCCAAATGGCCATAGGCCTCAAGCTCAGCTTCACACCAGGCCTTACAGTATACCTGTACTCTGCTCATCAGAGGGCAGAATGAAACCACCTGCACCTGCTTAAGCTGCATGAGCTCAGCAGCAGCAAATCAAAAGGGGAGAAACATACATGCAGACACTACTGCATGTAACGCCCCTCTCCATAAAATCCAAACTCCTGTTTGGTACACAAAACACCACCACCTCTGCCAAAGTAGGGTCAACCCTCCACGTAGGAAAAAACGTCTGCCACCACATTTTCTGAGTCTTAAAAAGTAATGTACCATCAATTTTAGCAGTCAGCAAGCATGGTGAACTCCATGGACTGTGACTGGGTACTGCCAGTCCATTTTTTAGCAGATAAGCTACCTCTTTTTTCATTTGTTCCCATTTCTCATAAGAGCAGTGATTAGTATGCTGTTTCACTGGGGTTGCAGCACCAACGTCAATGTCATGTTAAATCATACCAGTTGTAGGCGGGCTGTGGGGGGAAACTATGAAGCAGGGTACACCCTGCTGGGCTGGGGGTAAATGTAAAAGATGGGCTCTAACATCAGCAAGAACCTCAGAGTTCCCCAACCTTCCTGAGTGCTCCTCAGGAGACCAAATCAATCCATCTTCTGATGTAAATGCAGCACCAGGAACAGAGAATGAGGCTAACACAGGAACAACAGACACAGGGTCACTTTGTTGCTTTTTCATCATTTTAGATTTCTATCATAATAGGGCTTCAAACTGTTAACGTGGCATAATTGGGTCTTTCTTCTGTGGCCAGGGGTAGCAGTGATGTAGTTAACATCTGACACTTTGCTCTGAACCAGATAGGGGCCAGAAAAACTAGCAGCAATGCTAGAACCAACTACTGGTAATTAATGCCAACACTTGGTCACCAGAATGGAAATGTCGTTGAATAGCACGCTTATCAGAGTTTACCTTYATACTGCTCTGTGCTGCAGAAAGTGCCTCTCAACTCACAGGTAAAGATGTTTCAGTGGCAGACGATGCTTTCTCTCTACTAGCTTCATTTACCTCATCTGGCAATACCTCACCCTTAGCTGTAACTGAGCTAAACAGCGAGTCAATTTCTTGGTCCTTAAGTGCTTGGGCTCTATTCACAACACTAACTGGGAATACATCCGGAAATGTATTAGCTAGCACATCTGKCTCTGAGACAGACACGGGAGTAGTCACCACTTCCACCCTCGGGTAAACTTTTCCTCTTGCTATGTCATTGCCCAAGGGCGGAGTGGGTAATCGGGAGAATCGAGATGATTCCCGCTGGGCCGCATCATTAATGGGCCGGTCCCATGGGCGCAGTTAGTACGGGGACGTACCTTCCCACTGTCCCTGATAAGATGAGAAAAATCTCCGATCAAAACTGATGATGAACTTCTGTTAGTTCGTAGGGGTGTAAGAAAATATYGATACACTGAAATATCGCGATATTTCATTTCCCGATGCTGTATTGATATTCTAAATCCCTGTATCGATTTTTTTATTAATGTTTAAAACGTCAACTTTCCTACCAGCTGTTCATTTTTATGTTGTAGTTCAGCCTCTGACCGCTAGGTGGCAGCAGTGAGCCAGCCATTTGGATCCTCTACCTCTTGAGCGCCAACCTTACCCAGTCCATCTACCCCACCCCACACGCACACAGCTTTCCCTGCTTGTTGCTTCTGCTCTATCAGCAAGTCGTTTTTTGTACGATGATCGTGTGTTTTCCTGTGTGTTAAACACAAGATCAAAGTTTTTTTTAAACTCACCCTTCCTATGTGTGTGTATTCTGAACACTGTAAGGTAGCGCACGTTGTTGCGAATGACCATGGACATTCGTTCTCCCATGTTGTGTTTCTCTCTGGACGGATGTACTAAACTGCAAATTCCTTGTGTGTGTAAACATACTTGGCCAATAAACCTGATTCTGATTATAAAATATTAGCAATATTGCTTGGAATGATGGATAGACATCTGTGACAATACTGATAAATGAAAAATGTAAATATGTGAGTTGTGTTTTGCAAATACATCACACACATGGATATTATATTAGTTAACCCTACTAAGAATTTTTAAATAAGCTGAACTATTTGTTCTTTTACATTTAGCTTTGATAGCTGTATGTTTAGGGTTTTCAGTGAAAAAAAGTGTGTAAAACAGTTCAGTATTCAGCGAGTTATGACTGGTTAAACAGGCTGATACTTYATTGACCCCGCCAAACAGATTACACTAAGAGGAGCCAGTGACTTTTTCAAGATGGCGGCCCCGCGGCTCAACAGTGTAGGGGTAACCCTGGTGAAAAAAAAACTTTTCTATTGTTTTTTTGTTTTGTCTTTGATTTTATTTACACTTATAAGAAGAAA